TACATATGCCCTACGTAACATGAACGCACAAAATAAAAGAAGATATCGACACCTGAAGGGAAGCATTCTTGAAAAGTTTTCTGAGATAGGGCGTTTTCGAGCTGGTAATAAATAGGTTGATCTTTCACTCAGATGTCGATGTGGAATATCAGCAAACTATGGCCACTCACAACATAAGACAGTAATAACAAATAACTAAGTAAATATCCATTAGATTTTTCTTTATAAATACTTATTACAGTTCGATTACGAAAATCTGAAGATTTTTTGCATGGTGGTTTACTGTTTGAAGGTTTTGAGGTTCATCGGAGGAAATTCAAAACTAGATTAAAAATTTTGCGCGGGTTGTTAAATCACCGCTCTTTTGAAAGAAAGGATGGTCAACGTTTTTCTACCTCAGGGGCATAGCCACAGATGCGGATCCCCGAGTCCCTCTAACAAAAGTTAAACTGTTGGCAGTCAGATGTACATATTATATATGAAATAATGACATCTAGGTATTTAAAAAAATTTAGGTGTTTTTCGTCTTGGTTAATGATACATTCTCCCAGGGAGAGAATGTTTTTCCCAGCATTGACGTCTCGATTCCAACAAGTACCACATTTTTGGCAAAATTGGTATCTGTGGGGCGATTTGGCCGTCAGGTCTACGTTTTAAAATTTTGCGCAAAGTTTGGTTGTTCTGAATTCATTAACTAACCATCAGAATGTATGCATGCCGTTGTTTTAGTGCTGCGATTAGTAACCGATTTGGTGTACGCCTATATCCGCGTATTGGCGAGTTCGCAGCAATCTCTGTTGATCCGATGCAGATTAACGTTTTCTCTTCTTTGTTTGGTACCAGTTGTTGCGCAATTTGGTTGCAGGCTTTTTGTCGGCAAATGTACTTCTTCAACTTCAGCCGAGCCACCTTTCTTTGCGAGAAAATTCGTTGCTTTTGTTCTAGTATCTCAAGTTCAAATTTACAGTATTCTTCAAATTTTGACGAATTCGCCGATAATTATATTTTTGTTGTTAAAACTTTTGTATATTTATATAGTTTTATTTTGCGAGAATAGAAACCACAAAGGTTTTGATAGTACGAATTTTTGATTTTCACAGGAACATTGTTCTGGATGCCAGCTAAAATGAGCCGACACCCAGGATCTAGCCCAATCATGTTGTCGTATTTTGTTCCGCGTATTTTTATTAGATCACCTTCACAATCGGTTTCATTTGGTTTCAGTTTTCTTTTTTTTTGCCTTTGGTTGCATGTTGTATTTTCTTTTCCATGTTGAAGGAATTTTAAAATATTTTCCAAATTCACTTTTATCGAAGGAAGGAAATGGTCCTTTGAAGAATTTTAATCGACACAATAGTTGATGAAACGCAAATCGATCGTATCTGACGTGATGTAAACCGTGTTTTAGTTGTGGTATTATTGAAACATTCTTTTTTCCTTGATTCATTATACCGTTGGAGGTTATAAAATAATTCGATGGAAGACCAAAATAGTTGACATTTTCTATTTCGTGTAGTTTATTGCCGTTCCATTTTAAATCGGTACGCATACGTTCAAGTAACGATTGATCTGGGATATTTTTGGTATTTTTTTTCGAATAGGTAGCTCAGTGTACTATATACCTTTTTTTTGGTCTTCTTCAAATTTGAAGTATTTTCTGAGCCGAGTATAACCGTGCATCCAAATATTGTTATGGAATATAGTCAGAAATTGATTCGCGTTTTCCACAAAAAAAATTCGACCGATACGAACTATCGTACAACTCGAGTTTTTTTCGCAGCATATTATACTCCTGGTCTATTGTATATTTTGGTTTCTTCTTTACCATCAAGTGGTAATAACAGTTCAGAAAATTTATGGGTTCAAAGTTTTGTTGTTCCCAACGTTTCATCAGTGTAAAGTGAATGTATCTTGATACCTCGACGAATAGAGACGACATCTCCTCCACATCCTTTTGTATTTGATCATATACGGCGTCATTTTTGCATGACGAAAAATTAATTTTATTGCAAATTCCCTCTAAATAAGTTTTACATTGCTCGCGGCTAACCTTACACTATTCAAAAAGAATTGACCGCATGCAAAAAATCTACAAATTACCAATTTTCGTTATTACATCACATTAAAAACTAATAAAACGAGCCATAAACTCGACTGTAACTCGATACAGATATGTGCAAAATACCAAGAACATAAAGTGCGAATTATTTCGAAAAAAAAAAAATAATAATATGCCGTTGGGAACAAAAAATAATTCCAAATAAAATAAGAGTCCGAAGAATTTTGAAAAACTGGAAATTAGCAATATACATATTGTAAATATACGGGCAGGTTCTAGAATTCACTTCCGAGTAAATTTCAACCCCTGCCAATTTGAATTCAAAGCGAACTTGACTCGAATTCACTCGGAAGTGAATTGCAGAACCTGCCGGATAGAGTTTAATCCATAGTAGTGTTTTACTTTCTTATTCGCTTAAATAAATAATTTAAAATTAATATAAGTATATTTTGGCATACGTTTTATGAAATTATGTTATCGAGTTAAAAAGTTAGCAACATTAATATAATTCAGAGGTTAAATGGCTGTGCCTCAAATACAGACAATGCGAACAAGGCTAACCGTGAGTGAAAGGGGCCTGGCTAACAATAATTGTACTTGTACCATTTTGTAATTAACTTCTAGTTTAGCTTTATTTTAATTGCTATAAGATGAATAAGGCTTAATATGAACATTCGCTATAATGCGGCCCGCAGATCCGGAAATAGCTGAAAGTTATGTAAAAGTATTTAAGATTTTATATTGATCAACAAAATGTTGTCAAAGATTGTAAATAAATAAGTAACCTTAAAAATAAATCAACCTGATTAGATATAAACGTTACGATTACTACTACTATTGAGCTGTTAACAAGTTATATTAGAATTGCAGAGTAAAAGATTACATAAATTCGTTACTGTGACTAGGTAAGAAAGTGGAAGAAACTATAATTGAATAAAGCAACGAAAATACACATCATAACACGTTTTTCATTCAACCTGAATATCTTTGTTGATGTCTAATCTAAGAAAATAAAATCCTTTAAATAATGTTGGCTGGCATGCGTTGTTGTTTTAGTAGCATTTATCCCCCGAATTGGCTGTTATTCGTCGTCCTCCCTGTCTGACTCTTCCATCTCGAGTCCTAAGAAGCTTGCGGTTTCTCTGGTTTGAACTCAGAACGCCTCCGGTGTCACCTTGCTTGGGTGTTTGGGGCATGCGAAAAGATGGACGATGCTGTACGGACCGTTATCGTCTCCTGAGTTTGTGTCTACTATCTTCGGATCAGTTCTGGAAATAGGTAAGAGGCAGCCTCCTTTCGTCGTGAATAGAGATGGAGAGTGCTGAGTTATATCTCGTTCCAGTTGATTAAGATGCCTCCTAACTACTAGCTATTTGTTTTGTTTCGAACGAATCCAACCTTTTATGTTTTATTAAAGGCACATACCTGTACAAAGTCTTATTTTATTCATTTTTATGCAAGTCGTATGTAGTATATAAAAAACTAAGAACATTTAAGTAATTGCTGAACCATTAATGAAAAGAACTTAAATTATAACTTATTTGATAATTGCGAGTAACAAATTTCAAATTATTAAAGCTTATTTGAAATGGGTAGCGCGTATATTTTCTATGATTTTTGAATGTTTCCGTTTTGTCCTGAAGGAGTTGTACTCAAAAAATGTACGCAAGAAACCCAAAGTAACACATCTAATTTCCTAACACTAAAGATATTTAGTTCCCGAATTTTGACAATATTTGGGAACTGTTACCAAGGATTGTGAACTATTACCATGGGTTGGTAATTATAACTAAATATATTAAAGCTTCTAATATTCATCTAGGTTGCACCAAATCGTTAATTTAGTTGAAGTGTTTGGTAAATACTAATAAATATTTTTTTTTTATGCATATTTCTACAAATTCCATTCAACTTAACGTATGGTTCATAAAAGGATGTCATTAAGATCTGCTCATACAGATAAGCTTTCTTTGAACAAATGGTTTAGCCATAGTTACCTAATCTTAGTTGAGGCAACCATGGTTTGGTTTGAGAGCGGAACACATTAATGCTTTTGAGCCACCCCTAAATAATGCTGAGCGCTCTCTGAGCGTTTGTGTGTTTCGCATACGAAGAGCGCCAGCTGAGCAATGCACACAGTCCCACTTATTGAATCGTTAGAATGTGCTTGCATGCCGACAATTGCATAAAAACGATTCGATGAATGAGACTGTGTGCGTGGAAATCATTGCTCCGCTACCGCTGTTCGTATATGGGTGAAACACGCGTGTGGTCACAGAGCGCTGAGTAAGCTATGGCATGTCGATCACTGCACTAGGTAGAGAAAGAAGTGCGTGCTATGACATGCCCAGACTTGTTGTTTGTCTCAGTTTCAGTTTGTTTCGGTGTGCGCATAGTTATTTAAAAATATAAAGTTTGATGCCACCCGGGCTGAATATATAATTCATGTGAATTATAATTTGAAAGTATCTATTTAGCCAAGGAAAAAGCAAAGCAGTATACTTAAACCAGCACTTCCAGCAGATATTGACCTGTGTTTTCGCACGACTGTTCCTGTTTCATCGTTTCTTTTTAGGAAATTCTTACCACCATATACATATGTATTATTTACACTAGTAGCTATTTATGTAAATATGTATGTATTTTTTTTTTTTGAAGAACTAGAAGTCTCAAGTAAATTGCAGACTTTCGTGAACTATATATTTATTTCGCCATATCCAACTATGCCACTTGGTCACTATAACCAAATCTTGGTAATTATAACTAAAACTTTTTCTGAGTGTGGTCCAAACTTATGCGGTAACATACATTTAAAAAAAAATCCGACGAATTGATAACCTTTCCCTTTTCGTTAAGTTGGTTAAAAAATTAAATAAGGTACAGAAACTTGTAATTTTTTTTATTAAAATGATCCAGGGCATTAATAAAATTAACGCAGAACGCGAATTAACACTCACTTGATGGGTTTAATAGAAATTTGACCTTCGCGCAAAGTTTGGTGGGCCCCGCCCTGTATATTGCAGGTCTTTACGTGCTCCATTAACAAATCTATATCTATTTGTGACATAAAGTGTTCATTGATGGTCTGAAATGAAACTTTTACTTTCTTAAAAATAAAGTAAACATTTTAGTTAAATTATTTCTTATTATATTTGTATGACAAAAATTTAATAGCCTTAGGTAGTACATAAATACATAGGATTCTCAATTTTACTATCGTTCTTACTCTTTTTAGTCGGTCACGCGAGAAAAAGGACTACACCTATTCTTGTTGAGTTTCCTCTAGATTTACAAATACATTTCGCATTTTTTCTAAGTCAGGTGGAGCTGTATCGGGGTTTCTTATCCAAAAGTGGTATGCCCGTTTATCCGTTTGTGTTAGGGGCTTAAAGCTTTTTGGATTCAATGCGTCCGCGCCTGTGATTTTTGAGTTATATCGAGCATACAAGAACACCCGGTACCGCCAGTTATCGAAAGTCTAGGAAAACCAATAAATTTAACTAATACGATATGAAAAAAAAAACAAATTTTTTATGTTATTCATTTCACCTGTTTCCACTCCGCTACGTGCTTTACAGCACCTTGTGGCACTGAGTTTAGAATATCAGCTAACTTTACCCAATATTGATCTAATATGGGGTCGCTCCGCCGATGTTCGTTTATAGCGGGATTCTGTTCCATAAAATTGACATATATTTCTTTTTGCTTTTTCGACATCCGCTCCTTACGTTCTGAAACAATTGAAATTATTTTTAAAAAGATGTAAAATTTTGTATTGATGCTACTGAAATACAGATGTAAGTATACAGAGTGTCGTAGACCATCCGTCCACCCCCTCCAAAAGGGAGGGAAATATTTTTTATAGAATAACGCAAAAATAGGGCCTACCAAAACAAGGATGCCTTATCCTTTTGTGGTATTACTGACTTCCGGTTTCAACAGGACGCACTCACTACATGTTTTAGACAAACCGCATGTTTTTACTGATAATAAAATTATAGTTTAAAAAACTAAAACCTCCCTATTATAATTGCCATTCGTACTGTCATCAGGTATGTAACTTGGGAATAGAAATCGCTGCATCTTTTAGGCGCATCAATATTACATAGCTACATCCCGAGCTAATAAAAGGAAGGTAAAAATAGGTAGGTTCTTTTTTTGAAATTTTTTGCTTTTACAACCTCTAAATGGCCTCTTAAAGTATTTAATTTTTACTGTTCATTGTTAATTAGTTTTCAGTTTATGAAGGATTTTCTTTAGAAAAAATTTAGTCGTAAGCGTCATTTGTCCACAATTTGGCAGCCACTGTGTATGAAATACGACAAAATGTGATCAAAATTTCAACTAAATTAACGACACTTTTTACTCAATATCTCGGAAGGAGATATACAAAAATGGAGACCACCATTTCTAAGATATTGATTAGTTTAATATGACTGCATCACTAACTAAATTTTTACTAAATTGTCGAAAAAATTTTAGTAAATATCTCGGACACTAAAGGAGATATCTAAAAACTGATAGCACCATCGAAAGACCTTATTTCAAAATATATAACTGCATGTGAAACTAAAAATCGTCAGGCGACGAAATCTACCAACCGTGTGAAACGGCCTTAATGCATTATTTTGCCTCGTTGTGTTTTAGAACTGTTTTGTTGTTTTTTTTACATATGCGTTGCATTATGTTTGGCCCGCTCAGCTCCGCCTCGAAAAGGGAGGAGGTTCAATGATTCTTTAGTAAGTAATTATGTATGTATGTACATATGTTTGTCTACGTTACCGATACATACGTCTAAAGCTATTTCCAGTATTATTCTCTTGCATCAGGGCCTCGAAATGTTGTTGTTGTTGGTGTTGTTGTAGAGCATATTCGTGTTGTAAACGTTCCAAGTGTAATTCTTGCTGGTGTTGTTGTTGCTGCTCTTCATCAACAGCATATTGTACATTCGATTTCGCGTGAACTGACATTGGTGGTGGTGGTGAGGAATCTTCTGTATCCGTGTTCGCCCCAGTCGTATTTACCGCGGAGTCATAGTCAATTTTTGGCTCTATGTCCATATGACTTATTTCACTCGTTGGTATATTCGCATGCTGAATGCGCATTTTTATGGCTGGAAGTTCATCGGCGTTCTGGGAGTTTTGCGAACTTGTGCCACTGGCATTGGAGCGTCCTCCAACTGCTGGGTGGTAAATGGGCGTACTTGTGTTTTCATGCATATCCAAAGAAGACTTTTGTACTACGGAGCAATGACATGTGGCACAGCTCCCAATTGGAGTGAAATTTTCTTTGCAAGGATCAAAAACTAAATGTGTAAGAAACATAGAATTAATTTTAAATTTAAAGCTACGACAATATCATATCGCTCATTTATTCATTCAATTGTGTCATAACTCAAAAACCCACACTCGAGATAAACGGCTTTAATCAAGGCGAATTTATACGAGGTCGTGTCACTGGCGAATTTCGATTACAACAACGACAACCATATGTATTTTGTGTATGGAGGGTGTCATGCCAAATCTCAATTCGCTCCAAAGTTTACATGTATTTTGTTGTTGCTTTTGATGGGAGTGCTGTCAAATCAGTAAAAGCAAAAACAAAATACATGTAAGGCGAAGAAATCAGCTGATTTTACAACACCACCTTGTATAAATTCGCCTTGGCTTTAATGTTTTGAACTTATGTATGTACATATAACTACTCCCATAGTAAAAATGAGTACATATCGTCACTACACACGAATAAAGGCGCGCTAGTGTTTTGTACAATAAAAGACGCTTAAAAAAACTTCGGCGAAGAAAGACGCGTAAACATAGATTTATATCTGTCTAAGGACTGTACACCCGCAAATATAGTCGACCGCGAAAATAAGTTTACGCGTCTTTCTTCGCGATCAATTATGTTAAGAGTCTTTCTTCGCTAAAGCTTTTTGGATGCGTCTTTTTTCGCGGTCAACTTTTGGGCTCGCGCCTTTATTCGTGTCTAGTGACGATATGTATTCTGTTTTAGTGATATACATATGTACTGGTAATCGATACAGCTATGAAACAAGGCGAATTGATATAAGGTGGTAGCGGTAGTACAAAATTAAAAAACTAACATATATTTTCTTTTCGCTTTCGGTACACAGATGCCAAATTTCAGCTATTCTTCGCTCAAGGAGGAAGAGGGAAAGAAAATTCCGACACGAATTAAAGCAGCTGTTCTAGCAACACCACCTTATATGAATTCGCCTTGGCTATGAAATTTTTACACAAGAGAGAGTACTTAACTCAATTTTTTTTATTTTTTGGATTATTACACTATTGAAGTAGATAAAAAGACGCTAAAATGTATGTATTTTATTGTTTTATCAACAGCAATCGAATTCAAATTTCAGAACAAACAGTTTAGGTAGTGTCAGATGAAATCGCAGTTTGATCAGCTGTTTAGCTAAATTGAAGCAATGTTGGATATTTCCAGTGGAGTTCAAATTTGGGTCCCACTAAAATTAAATACCGCCGCCGAAGAAGTAGTCGAATTTCGGCGAGCCTGAAAGAATAATTGGTACGATGAGGAATGTCAAGAAGCTTCAGAGAAAAAAGATGCCGTCTATAGGGGCAACGCGAGCCATGTGGGACCGTTATATGGAACTGAAGAAGGAAGCGAGACGCATTTGCCGTAATAAGTCCTATTGACTGGCAGAAGCACTGAAAGCAGTGGAGAAGAAAAACCCGAGCCCCCAGTCGATGACGATGGAGTCGATGTCCCCTCGCCTGACTATGATGAGGTAAGAATAGCGATTACTCGGCTGAAAACTAATAAAACTGCTGGAGTTGATAAGGTGCATGCATCAACTCTTTGCAGAATATGGTCAGATGAACGCATACCCGACGACTGGAATTTAATGGTGATTTCGTTTCTATCAAAAAATTTTGCCTTTTGATTGCCCCTTTCTCTTTTCGTGTTCGATTCTAAATTAAAGGCCAAAGGTGAGAAAATTGTGTGTTCGTTTCTTAAAATGTTGCACTCTTGTAAGACAAAAAAGGCACATTCTCTGCTCTGTGAAGCTTTGTCAGGGGAGATGGTTGCCCTGAAAATTAGATGGTTGTTTAAAACGACAATATTGTGAAATCTATGAGATAGACAAGAACAGGAAAGCAAAAATATGCCTTTTTACAGGGTTTAGTGTAACATCAAACACATTTTGCACCGGGAAGGGCAACATTTTTTGGAAGACAAGAAATCACCATAAGTGTGCTCTGCCCAATCCACAAGAAAGGCGACCCCGCCCTACGTGGGATCAGCATTCTAAGCATAGGTTACAAGGTCTTATAGAATTTTTATGTGAAAGACTGAAGCCCACCGTCAACGAACTGATTGCGCCTTATCAGTGTGGCTTTAGACCTCACAAACCCACCATAGACCAGGTATTCATAATACGCCAATTCTTGGACAAGGCCCGCGAGAATAGTATCTACACACACCGTCTATTTCCCAATTTCAAAGCCGCTTTCGACAGCACGAAGAGAACTTGCCTTTATGCCGGGATGTCTGAATTTGGTATTCCCGCGAAACTAATACGGCTGTGTAAAATGACGTTGCGCAATACCACCAGCTCCGTCAGAATAGGGAAGGGCCTCTCCGAGCCGTTTTATACCAAACGAGGTTTCAGACAAGGTGAGTCCCTTTCGTTTGATTTCTTTAGTCTGATATTGGAGAAGATAAGAGCCGCATAACTGAACCGCTTAGTTACAATACTTTACAAGAGCGTACAATTGCTGACGTATGCCGACCACATCGACATTATTGGTAAAAACAAGAGCTTCGCCTGTTCTGCCTTCTCGGGATTGGATAGAGAGGCAAAGCGAATGAGTCTGGTGGTGAACGAGGACAAAACGAAATATCTTCTGTCATCACACAAACAGTCAGAGCATACGCGTCTTGGCACCCACGTCGCTGTTGATAGTTAAAAGTTCGAAAAAGTAGACGACTTCGTTTATTTGAGAACCAGAATTAACACCAATAATAGTGCAAGCCTTGAAATCTAACGGAGAATCACTCTTGCGAACAAGTGCTACTTTGGACTGAGTAGGCAATTGAGAAGTAAAGTCCCCTCTCGACGTACGAAAACATCACTCTATAAGCCACTCTTCATGCCGGCGCTGGTGTATGGCGCGAAGGCAAGGACAATGAAAACATCTGATGAGGCGGCTCTTGGAGTTTTCGAGAGAAAGATTCGGCGCAAGATTCATGGACCTTTGCGCGTTGGCGATGGCGAATACCGCAGACGATTTAACGATGAGCTGTATGAGCTTTACAACGATAAAGACATTGTGCAGCGAATTAAAATCCAGCCGCTCCGCTAGCTAGGTCATGTCGTTCGAATGGACAGAAACACTCCAGCTTTGAAAGCGTTCAACGCGGGTTGCGATGCAGATAACGGAGGAAGAGGAAGGCCTCCTCTGTGTGGGAAAGACCAGGGAGTGAAGGACTTGGCTTCACTTGGAATTTCCAATTGGCACTGAAGAGAAACAAACGGCGTGCTTTGTTGAACTCGGCCAAAATCGCTTATTCGGTTTACAGCGCAAGTAAATAAGAAGAGAAGAAAATTAAGGTCCGCTCACACACACCCTAAAAATACAAGTCGGGGCTGTATCCATTGTAATCATATGGGCATCTTCGAAAATGCTATCGCTGAAACCAAATTCTACAAAAGTATGTAGTTGTTCAAATTATTTCGCACGTTCGTAGCTGTTCGTAGCTGTTCGAACTCAGTGATCGAGTTTTCGTAGATTTCACGAAAAATATACAGTGATAGACCCGATTATTATTGTTTCTAAGAAAACAAGAATGAGAAAAATCGACTAACTAATAATAAAGTAATGAAAGATTTGTTCGTGCAGTTTTGCTTCAGAATTATTATCTGGAATAGCTTGATCCTTAAATGGTAAAAAAATCTTTAAATATACCCTTTGGGTTTCCCATAAAACGGTGAGTGTTGGTACGAATTTGTAATGAGCAAGAGAAGCAAAACACATTATAAAACTTGTTTCAAAGTACGTATTTTGACCAAATAAACTCTATTGTTAATTATTGGAAATGGTTAAGTTGAATATCTTCTCGGATAGCCAAGCGGCCATTAAGGCACTCTCTTATAGCTATTGGCCTATATCTCTGATCAATACGAAATTACCCTAATATGGGTCCCGGGACATACGAGACATTTACGGAAACGGGGCAAGGTGCAAGCTCGGCACTGAATGTGTCCCACAAAAAATTACCGAAAGGCCAAGAAGAGGTGGAACTGTGAAGGATCGTACAAGATTACCCGGCTGTTCTGGGTGTCCTACGACCCGCTTAAGACCAAAGCTTTCGTTAAGAATGAACAAAGAAGATACCTACAAACTTACTGGAGTGTGCACAGGGTACTGTCGCGCTGGGGTACTTGCCGAAAGGATTGGATTACCCTTCAACAAGTTTTGTCGAAGCTGAGATGACCCTGGCTCAAAAGCGCCACAGTCGAACGCTTCCTGTGCGAGTGTCCTCGCTCGGCAAACCATTGCTGCAGAATATTTCAGAGTGCAGCTGCCTCTCTCTATATGACGTACTAAAATTCATTAATGCCGCCAAATGGCTGTAGGTTGTACGAGTTGAGGAATCAAATTGGCAAACTTACTAATAGCTTGCCACCACTTAAACCAATCAAACATTCATATGAACCACTATTAAACGGTCAGTGTTTCCATTTACACAAGATTGTGACTGTGCTAAATTGTAAGCCAATTTTATGCATAAATACATATGTATTGTATTTTGAAGTTAATTGTTTTCGTTATTTTCTTGTTAAAATACATTTGTTATTTATTTTTGTACCGGCGATAAAATATTAGGAAAATATTTTGAATTGCATATTTTACTTGTTTATAGCGCATATTTTTGAATTTTTTAATGCATATTATATGCGCATATTTTCGATTTTTAGTGCATGATATTCCGAGCCCTACTTATGATGTTATATTAACCCAACCCCTCACCATAGAATTAGATTAGTTTCGTCCTAGTTTTAATTTAAAGTACACGTAGTGGTTGGTACCTTTATATTGGTTGTGTTTAATGAAACCGAAAAAAGTGCAGAGCAGCTCAAATTGGAGCAGAATGGAGTAGCTGTCAAAAAAACAAAGAGCATCTCAGATCATAAATCTCATGAAACACTTTTCAGGCGGAAATTCTCAAAACAGTTGATTGCTCGACAGTTCAATTCGTCAATTGTAAAGTGTGTGTGTGTGTGTGTGTGTTTGCTTGCTCTAAGTTACTCCATCAAAAAAGCTGGTGCAGAAAATTGTGCTCTTAGTTGCTCTAGTTCCACTTAGCGCAGGCTCATGAAACAAAAAGTAGAGTAAGTTAGAGCAAGCAAAAGTAGAGTAAGCTAGAGCAGCTCATTAAACACAACTATATTACATTCAGGTATTATGGAAACCTAATAAACTACAAACTCCCCAGGACCTGAGTAACTGGTCCCGGCGACATCTGAATTAACAAGTTTTCTTTAACAGCGGTCGCCCCTCGACGGGCAATGGCAAATTTCCGCGTGTATTTTTGCCATAAAAAGGCTTCTCGTAAAATCCATTTGCCGTTTTTAAGCGGCATAAAACTGTAACAATATCAAGACTCACAAGCACAAATTGGAGAAGATGCTCGGTCCAACTGTTAGCAAAAGTGTAAGCGCCAACATATTATTATTATTATTATATGTTAACTACAAATTTTTCGAATTATACAAAGGCAACTTTTTTATTTTGTTTTATTTATTTAATAATCCTGAACTCGTTCTAGCAGCGCGACTCTGGATCTCGTCCTTTCAGATCGCCTGCCTGTAAAGTGGCATGGAGAAGAGGCGGCTTGGAGACTAGTCCTTTCCAACTTCCCAGTATCGGTACTGTGCTGCTCGCAATTTGGTCCATTCCGAGAGCTTCAAAAATATGATATTCTTATGGCGTTTTCGTTTTTACCAAAAAATGTTGCCCTCTCATTTCAAAAACGCCATTAAAATTTATGTAGATACTTATACATAAGCTATGTTATTACCAGAGCTGGGTAATTTATGATTATGATTACATATTTATTACGATTGCTCAATTGTAATCCTTAAATTACATACGATTACTTTATTTGTAACCATAAATGTTACCATTACAATTTAAGGACTAAGATTACTGTAATCGTAGTCATGAAATACATGATTACAAATACTGAAGTTGTAATCCTAAAAATTTCAAGATTACAATTACAGTGAAAATTACGATTACTAACACTTTAATTGTAATCCTAAAATATTATGATTACAATTAATGTAATAGTAATCAAGAAATGTTGATTGCGATTTTCTGATGTTCTGTAGACTACAGTAGTCGTAATCGTTAAATTTTAAGGATTAAAATTAAAATATTCGCAACCAAGCATGTTATAATTTTAATAACAGTAATCATAATGCTGAAAATTATCGGGATTACAATTACAGTAATCGTAATCCTAAGTAATCAAAAGATAATCGTAATCATAAAGTGCCCAGCTCTGGTTATAAATATATTAATAGAAAATTAAAAAAAAAACTGTAAAAGAAAACTAACGTTGCGTTATTTCTACATAAAAAAAAATCCTCTCTCGTCCACATAGAATATACACGTTGTTCTGTGAAAGTTAACGGCTTAAATTTTTTTATATTGTGTGTAACTGATCCAGCGAGTTTGTAGTTGTACCGGTAGTACATAAACACTCTATAACTCCAAGCGTCAAAAGTTTGTTTCCTTTCCTCGACATTCTTAACAGCTCCCTGAGGTACATTGTTTAAGATAGCCGCTAATTTAATCCAATGTGATTCCAATACAGAATCGTTTCGACGTTGGGCCAACATACACTGATTTTCTTTAAAATATTTTACATATACTTCTTTTTGGTCCTTCGAAATTCTTTCTCCGCGCCCTGTACAAAATTTTAAAATCCAATTATGTATTTATTAATAATAAAAAAAATAAAAAAAATACCCACGTCTAAAGCGATTCATTTCAGATGGGTGTTGCTGATAGTTTACTTTTTTAGGGTTAACATCAGTCTCGTCTCTAAATTTAAATGGTGGCCGTGGGCAAAATATCTGCGGGTTGTGGCTCTGCTCATCCTGGTTATCGTCAACTTTCATCTCATACTGTCGTTCGAATTCTCACTCACTCGGTTCTGTTTTGGGATCTGTACGCTCATCAGTAATTGATTGGAATTCAGATCTTGATACTTGTTCTGAGTACTCTTGGTAAGCACGATCCTTCTTTAGTGTTTCATAATTATTAGACAAAATGCCTTGCGCATCGCAAACTTTTATGACTTTCGGATACTTGCGTTGTTTGTTATCAAACTGATCTCCACATTCTTGTCTGTTGACGTTCAGGATGTGATCATTTTCGTGTAAACATATGGTACCGTCAGACGCCATAAAGCTTTCCGCTGAAGGCGAATGCATCATTCCGTTATTTTGTGAAACCTCACATAGATTAGCTGAAAGAAAAAAGAACATTAAATGTAAAGAACATTTAATGTAAATAAGTTTACGAACTTACTAGAGGCCAAGTGCAGTATGGTAAGCGTGAAGTTATTTATTACAGTAACAAATTTTAAAAAACCTTAAAAGTTATTTTATCTAAAACAAATCCCTATAAATATATTTTCATCCCAATCATAGCTTATACACATTTAATTAATAATATAACTATTATATTATATTGTCAGAGCCGGAACATACATTTCTTTATCAAATAGTAAATGTATGTAGGTACATAACGCTCATTTACATCAATAGTGTCATAATTCAAAAATACATACAGAGTTAATACTTATTCTATGTTGCGTAAAAATTTCATAGATATATCAATTACCAGTAGTTTACTAGTAGAAAATATGTATTCATTTTTACTATGGCCTCGATTTTGGTTCTTTAGAGTTATTACACTATTGAAGTAAATGAGCGATATACATATGTACATATAATTCCTCCTGGATATTTATTTCAATTCATGTAGACCGTTGTATATATACATAGATATACATATATATGCATACATATGTAGAGATAAAATAGCCATTTCTACAATCCATTACTACATTAAAATAAAACAATTAACCAAATGGAATATGCAGATTTAACTTACCTTGACCAATTTCTATAACGAAATTGGTAAGATCATGACGTTGAGCTAAATAGTGCAATAGCAACTCATCGGGAATATTGAATCCAATCTTCTTGTTTCGAAATTCAAAGTTATAAATTCCAAATGCTGCCCTCACTAGAGTAGAAAATTGTGTTTCATACTTGATTTAATAGCAAATAGTTGTACAAAATATCCCCGTAGCGAATATCATGCATTAGTCACTTAAGTGTCTTGTACGCCCACGTTTAGTCTTCAATGTCGGGTTTTTATGAAAGTCGTACATGACTTTTTCATACAAATTGTAATTTAGTCGTTGACGGCCTCTGCATGACTTTTTCATGCAGTGATCCATGACGACATTCAAGCGACAATGTCCTGCAATGGACTTTTTTATAAGTGACCACTGCAAGACATAGTCTGTTATAAGTCTTTGATAGGAGTACACCTGCATGACATTGTCAGATATATCGCACACCGTCTCCAAAAGAATCACAACTTAAAATTTGGCATTTTTGTGTTTGTTGTTGTAGCAGCATACAAGTTCCCCAAAGAAATATTTGCTGGAGTCACAGTCCATGGCCAAATATAAATCTGGGTTTTTCCGGTTACATAGACCCGATTGTCGTGGCATTTTTGAAATTATGCGCTAAAAATGCACACAGAGCTTTTACTTACCTTTCAGCAAAAGCTGGAGCAAATCTTTGTTATAAGTTGTTAATAAAACCTAAGGTAAAGTCGCCCTTGCCCACATGATTAGCATGTGCTACGAAATAGTTTTTCGCATTTTCTGACGAACGTATTATTTTGAGTTGTGCCTCTTTTGAAGGCGGTGTGCGATACGTCGTTTAGAATTCACAGCAAGGGCGACGATGTCGCATTCGTTCCCACGACAGTCGGGTCTACGTAACCGGAACGACCCAGATTTATATCTGGCCAAGGACTGTCACTCCAGCAACACTCCCCAAAAAGTCTTTGGGGAATTTGTATGCTGCTACAACAACAACAACATGTCGCATTCGTTCCCACGACAGTCGGGTCTACGTAACCGGAACGACCCAGATTTATATTTGGCCAAGGACTGTCACTCCAGCAACACTCCCCAAAAACTCTTTGGAGAGCTTGTATGCTGCTACAACAACAACAACAACATGCCACTAAATTCTCATTAATTACGATGTCACCAGTGACCATTTTCGCTACTGGGATTAGTACGTATGTATGTATGCATGTACATATGCGAGTAATTTATACCAGCAGTATTTTACCATATTCCAGAATATTATTATTTCACATACCAACATTCCTCAAATCCCAGATGTTCAGATTACGGTTTTCCTCAGGTACCCCAATCATCAGCAGCTTCTTGTTGTCACGGAATTGAAAAGGGATAATTATGCCCGACCGCAATACCATTTTGGTTTGCCTTCAAGAAGACTTTTTCTGATTTCTGATTTTTTTATGAATACTTTTCTAAATACGTCTGTTGCAAAATAATCTGATTGCTGTTTGGAAGGACTTTACGTTTTTGGTTGCTTGTTTTTCTCTTTACTTTTAGCATTTACTTTGTCATATCGTTCTCATTCACAATCCACAAATTTAACTTGTCAGATAGTGGATCGTAGTAGGTCTGTTCGATGAGTGCACTAAAAGTGTAGAACAGAGTATATATATCAGTTTAAATTATAAAAATTATCTATTCATTATTACGCTGACTACACACGAGGCAACCGTTGAGGCAATCAGGGCATGTTGCTTCTACCTCTGTCTCGTGTGTAGCATTGTTGCTCATAGAAATAAGTGTTGCCGCAACCGTTGCCCGAACTATATTTTTTTTATATTTTGTTTTGGTTGCCTTGTCGCTTGCCTCGTGTGTATCGTTGTGCATTGAGTTTATTGACTTAAAGCTCAGTTAGTCTAGACTTAACTTAAATTAACTTACCGTAAGAAATCATCAATTATTACTCTACACGTCAACTTAAGCCAAGAGCGGAAATATTTTGTTTTTGTTTTATCTCTTTCAGCTGTATACAAGTTCGCCGCCTAAAATGTCACATCAAAAAAAATCATGCAAACAAAAATGTTTGCTTTCATTTATTACAGATACAAAAACGAGAGTCTGACAAGCCTGATTCTCTCACCGCTCTCAATTTCCGTAAGACCGTAACTTAAGAACCTAAAATCTACAGGTTGTTAAGTTTCTTACGGTAAGTTAAGTTTTAACTAACCGCCAACACAGTTTCTCATATAACAGGTTGGTCAAAATATTAAGTTAAGTTAAGTTATGGAACATAGACTAACTGAGCTTTTAGTTCATTGAAAAAAGTGAGTGGAAAAAGTATTTTGGTAGAAAACAAACCCACTCGGAAAATAGGTAAGCACCTTGCGAGGTAAGCCATGTTTTCTTTCAGTTCTTAGTACCAATATTGTCATCATGGCCAATGTCATCTACTAGTAANGTAACTTACTTTGTAAAGCGGCTCAGAAGTATGTCTGATACCAAATGTACATTCTAAATTCCTACTTACATAAGGCGGCCATGCCTTTGTAAAAGTAAGGGACGTTCGGCAGGGAAATGGTAATGACTGCCAGGTGAAGAGTAAGTTGCTAATAAGGTATTATTACGTGCTCCTAATTCCCACTGGGAAATTTTCTCCCGCTTGTACATTTTACAACAGAGCACACACTACTGAGGTTGAGGTGTGTACAAAACAAGAAAAATAGGTTGCCTAACACGTTGCTTCAACGGTTGCCTCGTGTGTAGGTAGCACTACATTTTCTCGTTAATTTCAATTACGTTATTTAAAAATTAATATATTTTCCACTTGTTGATGAAAATTGGTATAGTATGATTTTTTTACTGAGGAACACCAAATCTCTCGCTATGCGAGAAAAAGTATGCTTCGTACTTTTTGCGGGATCTCGCATGCGTCGTTTCGGAAGCGAGATTTTCCAGCACTTGAAGACGGCCGGTTAAATTTTAGAAGTCGATGTTTAAAATATAGTTGAAACTGACATCGATGAAGGCGTCAAGTTAAGAGCGAAATACACCACACAAGCGGTTTGACAAACCAAGCGA